GACGGAGTTTCGCTCTTGTTACCCAGGCTGGAGTGCAATGGCGCGATCTCGGCTCACCGCAACCTCCGTCTCCTGGGTTCAGGCAATTCTCCTGCCTCAGCCTTCTGAGTAGCTGGGATTACAGGCATGTGCCACCATGCCCAGCTAATTTTTTGTATTTTTAGTAGAGACGGGGTTTCACCATGTTGACCAGGTTGGTCTCGATCTCTTGATCTCGTGATCCACCCGCCTCGGCCTCCCAAAGTGCTGGGATTACAGGCTTGAGCCACTGCGCCCGGCCGACTCCTCACATTTTTAAACATAGTGTTCTGTTTTTTCTTTTCAGACTGGCTCCTTTCTCGCATCCCTTATTGTAGTGAATCAATCTAGTCTCCCAAGACAGCTGCTGCAGAATCAAACTTCTCTTTCTGCCTCACCCTGTCCACACCTGAACGCTTATTGTTCATTTTGCCTCCTAAATATTTTATACACATTCCTTCTGCTCCACTTGCCCTGCTGTTCTTATTTTGGACCATCTGTCCTTATCTTACTACCTCTGCCAGTATGTCTTGAGTTTCCTATCAAACGCTCATGATTAAGAGCTCAGGTATAGTCTGGGGAGAAGTTGTACCTGCTCCATAGGTGTTAGGAGGATTTAAAGCAATAATGCATGTGTTTTCACACCTGTGGGGCTTTTGGGGTACATACTGTTTAATCTTTCTGAAATGTACTCCACATCTTTTCTGGCCTGTGGAACTCCTTTCAGTCTTATCTGGAGCCCTGGAATCTTCCATCACCTCTACTAATAGACTTGTCTTCATTAGCTGATGCAGACCTTCTGTGGATACGAATATAATGACATCACATAGTTCTTAATTTTTTTTGTACGTGTGTCTCTCCCACTAGACTGAGAAGGCCATGGCTTATCTTTCGTCTGTCTTTCATTAGCCTCCTTAATACCTGTCATATGGTGGGGACTTAATGTTGATTGGATAAGTGAATCATGGTTTGGGACAAAGAGATCAGTGAATGACAAACAAAAGTCAAGTACAATTCTTCCTATTAAGAAGCAAAGAAGAAAAACAGTAATTCTTGAAAAAAAGGAATACCTATTGTAAAATTTTCATTTTGAAATAATTTCAGACTTAAAGAAAAGTTGCAAAAATAGTACCAAGAATTTCCATATATCCGTCACCCACACACTGTTGCAGAGGGCATTACCCAGATTTGAGAGAGATTTCTGACTCCCCAGTTTCCAACTTACAAAGCTGAATGAATGAGTGGTGCCATTTGCCAAGATGAGAAATACTGGAGAGCCAGTTTTAAAAGGAAAGAAAATGAGTTCAATTTGGGACGTAAGACTGAGAAGCATGCACCATCCAACTAGACATGTTAAGAATTAAACCAACAGAATGGGAAAAAATTTTTGCAGTTTACCCATCTGACAAAGGGCTGATATCCAGAATTTACAAAGAACTAAAACAGATTTACAAGAAAAAAAAACAAACAAGCCCATTCAAAAGTGGGCAAAGGATATGAACAGACGCTTTACAAAAGAAGACATACATGAGGCCAACAAACATATGAAAAAATGCTCATCATCACTGGTCATCAGAGAAATGCAAATCAAAACTACACTGAGATACCATCTCACGCCAGTTAGAATGGCGATCATTAAAAAATCTGGAGACAACAGATGCTGGAGAGGATGTGGAGAAATAGGAACACTACTGCACTGTTGGTGGGAGTGTAAATTAGTTCAACCATTGTGGAAGACAGTGTGGCGATTCCTCAAGGACCTAGAAATAGAAATTCCATTTGACCCAGCAATCCCATTACTGGGTATATATCCAAAGGATTACAAGTCATTCTACTATAAGGACACATGCACACGAATGTTCATTGCAGCACTGTTTACAATAGCAAAGACCTGGAACCAACCCAAATGCCCATCAACGATAGACTGGATAGGGAAAATGTGGCACATATACACCATGGAATATTATGCAGCCATCAAAAACGATGAGTTTGTGTCCTTTGTAGGGACATGGATGAACCTGGAAACTATCATTCTCAGCAAACTGACAGAAGAGCAGAAGATCAAACACCGCATGTTCTCACTCATAGGCGGGTGTTGAACAATGAGAACACATGGACACAGGGAGGGGAGCACTACACACTGGGGTCTGTTGGGGGGAAATAGGGGAGGGACAGTGGGGGGTGGGGAGCTGGGGAGAGATAGCAAGGGGAGTGATGCCAGATGTAGGTGATGGGGAGGAAGGCAGCAAATCACACTGCCACGGGTGTACCTATGCAACAATCTTGCATGTTCTTCACATGTACCCCAAAACCTAAAATGCAATAAAATAAATAAATGGGAAAAAAAATTAAAAGTATAAAAATATAAAAGCTGTCAGGAAAATGGCTAGAAGTGGGTCTAGAGCCTGAAGAGGAGCCTGAACTGAAAATACACATATGAAATGGGATTTAAAAACCAGATTCCTGGCAGGGCGCAATGGCTCATGCCTGTAATCCTAGCACTTTGGGAGGCTGAGGTGGGCAGATCGTCTGAGGTTTCTTATAAAGTTAATCACAAACTTATGGATGATCCTGCAGTTTCATCCTGAGATATTTACCAAAGAGAAATAGAAACATATGTTCTGAAAAATTTTAGTCTACTAATATTCTAAGAAGCTTTACTTTGAATAGCCAAAAATTCTAAACAACCCTTATGCCGATCAAGAGGAGAATGGATAAACAAGTTGTGGTAATATTCACACCAAAACCACTATCAACACTAAAAAAGAACCAAAGTACTGATGCATACAACAGGAATGAGTATCATATAGTGTTGAGTAAAATAACTTAAATACTAAATAGTATATGCTGTGTGATTCCAACTATGTAAAATTACAGAACAGACAAGATTATCAAAGAGTGATAGCAATCAGATCAGTGGTTGCCTAGAGAGGGGAGTGGAAGGAAGCCCGACTGTAAAGAGGAGGTGGTGATCACATGATTTATGTCTTTCTTAGAAGTCATCTACTTGATATGAAATGTGTGGAGTTTATTGTATGTGAATTATGTCTCAATAAGGTTGCTAAAAAAAAGAACTTAGGACATGACCTCCTCATAGTCAGAAACCATCTTATTTATCTTTGCACCCTCAGTATTTTACCCAATCCAAATGTCTTTTTTAATCAGGTCTCCATATTATACTCACAACAACAATGTACAAGGGATTCCTTTGACTGCATCCTTAGCAACACTTAGTATTGTTTGTATTAGAATTTAAGTCAGTCCAGTGGGCCTCCAGTGGTGTCACATTGTGGTTTTATTTGCATTTTCCTGATGCATGTCCTAAATTCAAAGATGTAGAAATAGCTTACTTTAATATGACAAAAATAACTTATTCTGATTTATAGACCACATTATATTTAAAGAATACCTCTACAAAACAATGACTCAAGGTAGTCATTTTCAGACCAATAGTTGGGAAGTCTCTCTCCATCTCATTTGCTTATACATGAAACAGACAAAGCAAACTTCAGTTTAAAAACAGTCGGTTGATAAGTGATGGGAGGAGCAGGATGGAGAGGGAAGAGATCTCTTTGGAAACAGACTTGACAGAACTCAGACCCTAGGAAATTACTGATTGAATTTGGAATTCCTTAAATTGCTTCAATATTATTTTAGTTTGACCAGTCATCAATAATGGCTTGGAGACCTCTGTCAAGGGTTGTTCTCAACCTATGCTGCAGGCCAGAATTATCTGAGAAGCTTAAAAAACAATAAGAAAGCATACCTGGAACCCAGCTTAGATCAATTAAGTTAGTATTTCTGAGGAATAGACCCTGGACTTTGGTTTTTAAAAGAAAATTAAAAAGGATGAAAGAAACAGAGCTTCCTGGGTGACTTTTTTTTTTTTCCTAAGGTGGAATTTTGCTCTTGTCACCCAGGCTGGAAGATTCTCCTAGTGGCTCTGAGTCTAGTAGGTGTAGTATGTAATTACCTTTTATTTCTTATAAGTCTGGCTCTTTAATCAGGGAGAAGAAACTGCTATTGAGTATTGAAGAGCATTCCACATATTCTCATCTTTATTTTTTAAAAAATTTGTTTGATTACTGGTTGCATGACCTCACTGAATTGTCTTGGTGAATCATCTCAGCACACATGCCCGTCTAAAACTGTATCTAACATTCATTGAAGTGTAGAGTTTTAATTTACAGTTTTTAAGATAAGTAAGACTAGTTTAAAGAAAATAATAACGGTTGCTAAAGAAACTCTTTAACTGCTAGATGAGTAATCTAAGTAGGGTATTTCTTTTTTTGATTGCAGTTTAATTTACATAATGACTTTTTAAAAAAATTTTCTCTGTTGGGTAAATTTCTTCATAATGAGTGAATAAAAAGAATTTTGAAGAGATAAAATGAGTTGTTTTTATTTTATTTCAGGAATTCACTTAAACAACAACCTAAACCACTTGAAATTTGGCTTGGATTATCATAGACTGTCTTCTCCTACACAAACAGCAGCAAAGCAAGGGAAAACGGATTCACCCACCACAAGAGCAGGCAGCGACAAGATTGTCCTGTTGGTGTGTAACCGAGCCTGCACTGGGCAACAAGGGAAAAGGTGAGAACTAGATTATTTTCCAATATGTACCGAGGCTGTAAAAATCCAGTACTTTCAAACATTTTAAGAAGCACGGGCAAAAACTATTACTTTGAGTGGTTAATTTTGATTCTGATATTTAGAAAGAATGTAGGTACAAGTTGACCTGATTTTTGAGATGGAGTCTTGCTCTGTCGTGCAGGCTCAAGTGCAGTGGTGCGATCTTGGCTCACCGCAACCTCCACCTCGCAGGTTCAAGCAATTCTTTTGCTTCAGCCTCCTGAGTAGCTGCGATTATAGGCACCAGTCACCACGCCTGGCAGATTTTTTTGTATTTTTAGTAGAAATGGGGTTTCACCATGTTGGCCAGACTGGTCTTGAATACCAGACCTCAGACGATCTGCCCACCTCAGCCTCCCAAAGTGCTAGGATTACAGGCATGAGCCATTGTGCCCTGCCAGGAATCTGGTTTTTAAATCCCATTTCATATGTGTGTTTTCAGTTCAGGCTCCTCTTCGGGCTCTAGACCCATTTCTAGCCACTTTCCGGACAGCTTTTATATTTTTATTTTTTTAATTCTTAACATGTCTAGTTGGATGGTGCATGCTTCTCAGTCTTACGTCCCAAATTGAACTCATTTTCTTTCCTTTTAAAACTGGCTCTCCAGTATTTCTCATCTTGGCAAATGGCACCACTCATTCATTCAGCTTTGTAAGTTGGAAATTTGGGAGTCAGAAATCTCTCTCAAATCTGGGTAATGCCCTCTGCAACAGTGTGTGGGTGTTTTAGACTATCTTTTAAAGTAATTGTGTCAAAATAGGAATGTAACCTGAGTGTTAACAAGAGACAGATATGTTTCAAGGAGAAAGGACTCAGTGTTTCTTAACATTTGTTAGGATAGCCTTTATGTTAGCCTTTGAAAATTTTGCTTTGAAATAAGCTCCCTGCGTGATAAATAACATAAATGTAAAATGTGTTGATATGCATATTTATGCTATTAATTGACAGGCATTTTTAGTATTTACAGTGTGTTGGGGACTGTTCTAAACACTGGATTCAGCAGGGAACAAGACAGGCAGGATCTGTGTCCTCATAGAACCTCCATCCTAGCTAGGACAGACTGACTATGAACAGACAAACGTATTTAACGTCAGACAGTCTGTACCACATCAAAGGCATGAAAACAGACTAGAATGATAGAGTGTGATGGTGGGGAGGCTGACAAGACTACATTAGAAAGGGAGGTAGGAAAGGTGTCCCTGAAGAGACTGCAGCCAGGCTGAGCCCTGGTGAGCTGTGTGAACATGAGGGGAAAGGATCCCATGCAGAGGGAACACCCAGTACGTGCACACAAGACAGGGAGGAGCTTGGTGTGTGTCAGGAACAGAAGGAATGAAGTAAAGAAGCTGTGGAATTCCCTTCATGATGCCAGTCTCTCAAAGAATAAAGTCATTATTTTTAAAAAACATATGGTTGGGTGATTTACATGTACTTGTAACGCTTTTCACATCGCAGTCGTTTTTAGGCAGATAGGTTCACTGTTAAGCTCCACTACAAGCGAACAGCTTGATAGTTGTTGGAAACTAGTTTCTTGGTGATCTTAGCACCTCTGCTTCCCTCTGGGCCTGAGTCAATCTGTTAGTTAGATCATTTGTTCATTCATTCATTCGTCTTCTATTTTCTAGACATTGTGTGTTTGTGCTACTAAGATAAATAAATTACAGTGCTTGGTATCAAATAACTAACAGCCTATGGGTAGAGGCAGAAAAATAAACAGGCATCGTTTATAGCACAGCACGTATAGGGAACAAGTCAACAGGGTGCCTTCTGGAAAAGAATACCTCCACTGGGTCTTCACATGAGTGAGTAGGAGACAGCCTAGACTAAGAAGGGTGGGGAGAGTATTCCAAGCGGAGGGAGTTCCCTGACAAAGACATGGATGTGTGGGAGTAGGACACATTCAGGGAATTCAGGGTTGAATGAATGGGCATGGATGAGAGTTGAGGCTAGGCTAGTGGTCCTCAACATTGGCTGTGTATTAGAACCACCCGGGGAGCCCCTAAAAACATCTCAGTGCTCAGATCACATTCCAGACTGATTTCATCAGAATCTCTGGGGGCTGAACTTGGGCATCATTATGTTCTAAAGCTCCTCTGGTGATTTTGGTCTTCAGTCTGTGCTGCTGAGGCCAAGAACCACAGTACTGCTTGGACTCTGTAGGACATAGACAGCTCTGGCAGGGAATAGGAGCCCACTTTCACTGTCACTTGCTTGCCTGTGCCTTCCTTGTTGTCAGAGACTTAAGAATGTGGCTGCCTGTCTGTGAGATCTTCCAGCCCTATCTAGTCCTCTGGTACCCAACCCCTTATGGGTTTGACCTGTGCTGTTTGCCCGGCTCATGTTCACTTCTACCCACTCTGTTCCCTATCTTCACTGATCATGCCCTGTTGCTACCTGCTGCCCTAGTACCGTACTCCCCTAGAAGCCATTTTGGTGTATTGGTTATTAAATTTCATTTAGAAATCTAAGCTGTTCATCTCCTTAAGAAGAGTTACCATTAAATTTCCTGGTTTTTTTTTTTTTTTGAGAACTGTCCTAAAGCCAGTTATATTGTGATTCTGTTTTAAAAGATCAAGAACAAAAGATAAGTGTTAAAGGAATTACCGTACTTTTAAGGTGATTACATTGTTGATGTATGTTAGATTTGGACTGCCTTTTGTGCTGCACTTAGAGAAGACAGTAGCTTGGGACCTTCTGCAGAAGGAAATCTTAGAGAAGATGAAGTATTTCTTGAGGCCCACGGTTTGCATTCAGGTTTGTAAGCATTTTGTTGTTCCAACAAAGCATGGTTATATACTCAGTGAAGAAACAGTCATTGCAATGAAATTTGAGTTTCTTGTGTTTAGATTCCCAAGACTGAGAATTTATTTCTCATTTTATGAAAGTAACTAGCCACTGCAAGGTTTTCCTTGAACTGCTCCATATTCCTTTATAATATTTATCTAATAACACTTAGAACATGATCAACTTGGAAAGGATTTAGTAGAATGTCTATCTGTATATTTAAAAAATTATTACTATGTCAAGGTATCTGTGGAAGACCATTAAGCTGATGTTTAGTAAAGGCAGTGTGTTACTTGTCTTGCATGATATATTTGATATGTAAGTTGCATTTGGGTAAATCATATTTAAAATGTATTAGAGTGGCTCAACAACCTTATAGGATATTATAGAGAAGCATTTTGCAGAATGAACAGTTTACTGTAACTCTAATTTGTTTTGGAAATGCCACTGTGAAGCAGATGCCCTTGAAGAAAAATTTGGCTTAATTCTCATTAACATCTGATGCAGGTGTGTCCATTCAGCTTGCGTGTGGTCAGTGTTGTTGGAATAACATACTTGCTGCCCCAGGAGGAGCAGCCCCTGTGCCACCCAACAGTAGAAAGGTAAAAAAATAAAAATTTCCTTCTAGAATTTCACATATGCTCATGTGTGATTTCAAGTGATGTCTGATATAATTTCCACATAAGTGTGCAGGGTTCTTTAGGCTCATTTTGAAATTAAGTCCTTATTTTACTTTTGCTTCATGCTTGGGTATGATATGTTTGATGATCTTTCTTGAAATAAGAAAAGCCCTGGAGGATTTGTGTTAGGAAAGCAAATTAACGTATGTCCTAGAACTGCAGATAAATTACCCTTTCATATTCACCAGGAATGAACTTTTGTAAAGTAATGTTCTAATCAGGCCACATGCTTCCTTAAAACCCTTATATGGTGACTTGTGGCCTAAAAGATAAAGCCAGCATTCCACAGTATAAGAAGTTCTTCACGGCTTGAACTCCACTTACTCCCCTTTTGTCAGGCCTTGTTCTTCCTCTCCCCACTATCCCAAACTTTCAGCAGCGTTAAAGTCCTGATGATTGTTTGAACAGATGATACTATTTTAATACGTGTGCTTTGCATGTGTGGTTTCCTGTGTCCATAATTTCTTTCCTTTAAGCCCTTTTTTTATACTGTCCTCCTCCCACCCCCCGCAACCTGCATTATAGAATTAGTCACTCTACTCTGCTACCGCTGTGCTGTCTAAATCTGTTATATTTATAATACTTTATTGTATTAATAAAATAATATACATATATACACACCTTATGTCTATGAATATATATAATATAAATATGAAAATCATTTTTATAAAAATTATAAAAATGATTTTTTCAACAAATACTGTAGTATTTCAGGATTTTTAAAAAGTGTACAACATGGTTCTGCTTGAAAGTTCACTGTTTTGATTTAGAGATGAGCGCTAATAGATTAGACAATGATCCAAAGTATTACACAACATAAACAAGATTAGACGGGTAATATTAACTGAGGAGATGGCAAGGAGCCAGTGAACTTGGGGTGGGGAGTAGCTTTGGAGGAAGGAGGAAGAAGGGCGCAGTCTAGAGCAGGTGTGGCATGTTAGTGGAGAGGTGGGAAGGTGCAAGGGCTGACTTTGTTCCCAGTGACTGCTGTCCAGTGTCTATTTGGGTAGATGAAAAATTGAGCAAGAAGTTGGGATGGTCATAATGACTGTCTGAGAGTGATCATCAACAACCTTATAACATGACACTAAATTTCTTCCAGTCTCTTTATTATTAATACTGTATCGGGCTTTTTAATTTAAGGGGTTTTCAGTTTAGTTGTAATATAGTTATTAAATCCGTGGTTATAGTGGTCTTGCCAAAAACTTTTTCTGTTGGGGAACTATGATGAAGATTTTCATTAATCACATTATGACTTTTGGATAGGACATAATCACATTAAGTAAAATCATTTGCTTAAAAAATAATATGTGGCTTCCCTCTCCACATATTCTATAGGGCATTAAAATCTTGCGGACCAGGTGGCACCGCTCATGTGAAATTAGTAGTCGAGTGGGACAAGGAGACAAGAGATTTGTGAGTATTTTTAAAGTTAGTATTTATAGAAACATTGTTTTAATTATCATTTTTGTAGCACACCTTTGATATGTTAAATGAGCTGAAACACAAATCTCCCTTCTCTTTAGCTAAGTATCCAGCTGTGTTGTTAAACCTTTGCTTAAGCAGTTTATTATTCCTTTCCTGTACATTCTCTCTTCCCAATCTCAGAACCTTACATTTGTTCACTGCTGAAAAAGAAGCTGTTAACTACTATATAGGTTCATTTACTTTGATTTTTAATTCTAGAAAGTGATGTAAGATGCGTGTTCTTAGAAGTAAAGGAGAGGAGTATGTGATTTAACCAGTACAGTTCATGGCCAAACCCAGAAAAATCTAGTTAGTTATGGAAATAACTTCATATACAGAGAACTTTTCAAGAACATTTTGGAATATAGAAAAATTGGGTCACTACTTTTGTTTTCTTACACATTGATTTTTTTTGGTTATGAGATTGTAGCCACTTCACAAAGGTGTAATTTTATTTTTGCATCTGTTTTGCAAGACATTCTCTGATAGATGCTTTTCCTCCTAATTGCAGCTTGTTTGTAAATACTGAGGATGAGTATATCCCTGATGCAGAAAGTGTTCGTCTGCAAAGGGAGCGTCATCATCAGCCTCAAACCTGCACTTTATCCCAGTGTTTCCAACTCTACACCAAAGAGGAGCGGGTAAGTGGTTGGGCAGCATTTCTTAGGTGCCCAGGGCAGGAGGGAGTGGGGTATGGCAAGATGACAGTGGAGAAACAAATCATGTCCCAGAAATCACCACAGGATTTTTACATGTATGTAAGTCCGCACATGTAATGGGCACCTTAGTGCTGTTGCTTTTAGGACTTTAACAAAAAGTTCTAAGTTTCTAGAAAACCTTGATTAATTGAGATACTCTAGAACTGAACCTTTGTAGTTAGTTCTTTTTAATGGTTAATTATCAAGTTTTGGTGATTTTCTTTCTCAATTTAGAAGTGTTAAGATATTTTCCTTAGAAACTAAAACAGCGATTCTTGACTTTTTGGTACTAAGAACATAGGTCCCAGGACCTATTTAAATTAAAATTAATTAAAATTAAGTAAACAATTCAGTTCGTTTGTTGCATTAGCCATGTTTCAAGTGCTCAGCAGACACATGGTGGCTAACAGCTCTCATATTGAACAGTGTAGATACAGACTAGAAAGTAGACAGCAAAGCTTTGCAGGTAGTAGGGACCCAGTAAGTATTTAAATGAATGGATGGACAGAGAGATGAGTAAATAAGCCTCTATGGTTGGGGCCTAGGCCTGTGTGATTTTTATGCACCTTATAAACATTTGACCAGAGTACTTGGAGTTCATCTAACCTTGCATTGATATCTGGGATTATAATTTTGACTACCATTTGTAACCCTTCACTCTTAAATAGAGGGAGTCATGCAATTTCAGGATTGAAGGGGACTTTAAAACTCCTTTATTCTAGTGGTTGGGTTCTTCTTCTGCTTAATCTCAAATAGGTGATTGTTTAGCCTCAGTTTGAGTATCTTTTATTATGAGGTGTTTGCCTTCTTCAGATAAAGATATACCATTTTTTCTCTGGAGAGCTCTGACGGTGACTTAAGTTAACCTGAAATATGTCCACTTGTTACTACAGTCAACAAATGTTCTCTTTCTTAAATCCATTAAGACTCAGAAGTCCTAATTTTATTTTTGTCTATTGTTCGAATATTTGAAAATAGTTTTTGTATTTCCACTGAGTCTTGTCTCCCCCATACTGCTTTTAGCTAGTTTCTTTAATAGTTTTTCATAAGACATGTTTTTTTTTCAGTTTTGCACTCAATTATGAAATAGTTGGCTTTGAAACTGGCTGATTGTAAGTTCTTTATGGCACCTTGCCCTATTTAGCTTTTTATTTATTTTATTATCTTTAATGACTTTGAAGATGTTTGGTAATGGCACAAAGATTATAGATGAGCAAATCTACTGGATGACAGCAGTGATATCCACAAAACATCTCACTGATCTAGAATGCTAGCAAGGTATCTTTTAACAGGGGGTCATTTGTTTAGTAGGTGTTTGTTGAGTACATACCATGTTAGGTATCATACCGGTACCAGAGAAATAGCAGGGGCCAAAATAAACCACGTTGTTGCCTTCATGCTGTTTATAGTCTAGTGGAACAAGTAAATAAAGGAAGCAAAGGCCCTGGGGTAGGAAGCAAAGGTTCTTGGCAAGACTGTCAAACAGAAATGAAGCCAGTGTTTCTGGAGGACAGGAGGAAAGGGAAAATTGACAGTATAGGCTCCATGAGAGCAGGTACTCCATGTGTGTTGATCACTAAATAATTTCAGTATCCAGAGCAGAGCATGGCACATACAAAGTGACATCCGGCCAGGTGCAGTGGCTCACGCTTGTAATCCCAGCACCTTGGGAGGCTGAGGTGGATGGATCGCCTGAGCCCAGGAATTCAAGACCACTTGGGCAACATAGCAAAACCCCGTCTCTACCAAAAATAAAAAAAATTTAAAAAAAATTAGCTGGGCATAGTGGTGTGTGCTTGTGGTCCCTGCTATTCAAGAGACTGAGGTGGGAGAATCGCTTGAGCCTGGGAGGCGGAGGTTGCAGTGACAACACTGCACTCCAAACTGGGTGATAGAGCGAGACACTGTTTAAAAAAAAAGTGAAAGTAATATTTAACATTTATATTTACTAATTTAGTTGTTCCTCTTTGAGGGATAGTCTATTTAGCAAAGCAGAATCCGTTTAGAGTTTGGGTGCCAGATCTGGCCACTTTTTTTTGATTGTGTTATTCCATTGATGCCCAGCATCTGCAGTTTCCAGAGAGATTCTGAGTTGCACCATGCCCTGGCTAAGGCATTAGTCCAGCCGTAACACCGTTTTGCTTTAAGTGGTACTTACTGGGAGTCATGCTTCTGTTTTCAGCTTGCCCCTGATGATGCCTGGCGTTGCCCACATTGTAAGCAGCTGCAACAGGGAAGCATTACGTTAAGCCTGTGGACTCTGCCTGATGTGCTTATTATACATCTAAAGAGATTTCGGCAGGTACGGAAATCCTCTATCCTCAGGAACAAACAAGCTGTGACCAAGTTTCTTATGCCCCCTGCTGATGGGCTCTGTGGGGGTTCTTTGGTGTCCCTGTTTGAGCCAGTGAGTCCTGTCTGTGTATGTTATGGACACACTTTTGCCTCTGCATTTAGGGTTATGTTTTGTTTTTTTCCCAAGGCACCATTTGATTTTAGTTCATATTTCAGGTATTTTACTTTGTTCTTGACTTGTAAATGTTGTGCTTAAATTTTGTTAAGTGTACTCTGGGATTTAAAAAGAACTATGTAGGGATCCTTTCTGGGGGAGATAGAAATCTATTTCTATCTAATGTAATGGGTGGTCTGCTCCTGAGGAGCTGTTGTGTGGTTGGAGAGATGAGTCATAAATAAATACAAAGAAAATCTGCTTTGAATTGTATTGCTTTGTGAGTCAGTTTTTCCAAAAAGGCTGTCTATTCCCTGAGGTTAGGATTGTCTAGACAGTCTCACTGTAAGAGGTAAATGGGAGGTGAATGTTAGCAAACTCCATGAGGCCTGACTCTAAGGTTGTATCTGAAAGATGAGCAGGCTTTTACTAGGTGAGGTGGAAGCAGGGATCACCCACACGGGGACAGAAGGAGCAGTGTGTGCACAGCTCGACAGTCGAGAAAGCATGGCCTGCACTAGAGGCTGGAGCAGGGCAGCTGGGCAAGCGCTCCAGAGGGTGGGGCATTGGCAGGAGTTGATAGAAGAGGTAGGAACCCTTTGTGGGTGGAGTAGGATTCTGATGAAGGGTTTTAAGCAGAGAAGCAACCTTCCAAATCTGTGTTTTCTTGAAAAGATTATTCTGGTTATTGTGTAGAGAACAAATTAGAGACTACAAAAATGAAGATTAGGGAAACCTGGAGGAGACTATTGCAGTCATTTAGGGTGGGCTGTGAATGGATGGAATAGGTTGTGGCTGTAGAGTTGGAGAGATGTTCAGAACTGTCTGAGGAGGCGGATGTGTCAAGGGCGACACACGTGTGGTCCCAAGGTCTGGGGCTTTCACACAGAGGTTTGAGGTTCAGCTTTTATGGGAGTGAAGAGTGGGCATTTGCCATCCATTGCATATTCTGTTGAGATCTGCAAGTGGAAAGCTGGTCGAGGGTTTGGATCCTAGTCTGCTCTGTCTCCTTCCCCAGACACAGAGTAACTTCCCTGGCTTTCTATTTTCTTTTGAAGGCCTATTACCACGCTTCCAGCAACCCAGATGCAAACCTGCAGTGTCCTCTTTGACTCTTCTTCCTTGTCCCTCTCATCTAGGCATGGCCGTGCCTCCTCATCGACTCTTGTGTGTCCCCTCCCCATTCTGGCTGTCACCCTGCTGGTTCAGACATTTTGTTACTTTTCAGCTGGTCACTGTCGCAGTGTTTTTTAGTTGATTTCTTCACCTCCATTACTCCTATTTCTAACATGTTTTGTGCACTGCCTACTCAGTTCTTCACTCACAATTCTGGTGACACCACCTCCTCCATAAAAGCCTCGGAGGATATGGTCCAGATTCTTCAGCCTGGCCTTTCTGACCACCCAGGACCCATTGTCCCTTTCTGTCATGAACATTTTTCTTCCCTCCACAGACCCATATGTAGCTCCTTAGGGTGGGCATATCTATGCCTGGTTAATTTTTTAAAGTTCCCATAGACACAGGAAGCATGCAGTCAATATGTATTCAACTGATGGCTGGATTTCAAAGCATTTCCCTTTAAGCTTAATGGAAAATACAGATTATCTGAGATTGCCACTGAGTGAATATGTTAAGCGAAGTCAGTGTTGCCTTGTGATGTGCCTGTTGGAGGAGGTGGAGGAGAACAGGTGCTGCTTAGCGAGTAGCTCTTCCGTGCCAGGCACTGTGGTTTGCCCTTCACAGAGCCATCATTTCATCAGTTTTCATGCCTCTTTGACAGAGGTATCAGATGAACCACCTGAAATTGTCAATTTTTTTGTAATTGAAATGCTTTAAAGCCCTTTAACAGATAAGGAAATGAAGACTCAGAGAGGCTCATTTACCCCCTCTATGTGGATCCTCACTGGTTCCACCTTAGCTGATATTAAAGCCTATTCCTCTAGATAGCTAAATCTATCATCTGTTTCCCTGTTTTGTATGTCTTGGGAAACATCAGATAGGTGACTCAAATCACTTTATCTGATAGGATCCATATTCCCTGCTACTGCTTGCATTAAAGTATCACCAGAACTTGTTTTTCTTCTTGCAACAGGAGGGAGACAGGCGCATGAAACTTCAGAACATGGTCAAGTTCCCCTTGACTGGCCTGGACATGACACCTCATGTGGTTAAGAGGAGCCAGAGCAGCTGGAGCTTGCCATCCCATTGGTCCCCATGGAGACGGCCCTATGGACTCGGGAGGGACCCTGAGGACTACATCTATGACCTGTATGCTGTGTGCAATCACCATGGCACCATGCAAGGGGGGCACTACACAGGTCTGCAGTGTGAGAGGCTGCGTGTCTGTGCTGGCGAGTCCTTCAGATGGGTTTGCTTGTGACGGGGTGACTTGGCTTTAGAGCCTCATTTCCCTTCCAGTAGGCAGTGTGCCAACTGCGAGGGCAGTTTCCATCTTCTATATCTCTGTCCAAGAGCAAATAAATGAACATTCTTCCTCCTCTTCCTGAGTGGGGTCATCCAGTAGGTACCTGACTGACTGATTGGGGAATGGTTTGTATAGATGGTATTGTTAGGTCAACTGGGGATTTGCTCTTTGTTTGCCTATCTTGCACTCATCATTTAAGGTTTTGCTGGACTTCTTGAGGTTCTAGCTTCTCCCTTACTTTAAAAGATTGTGAACTACTTTTTTTTTTTTTTTAAATTAAAGATGAGGTGTTGCTGTATTGCCCAGGCTGGAGTACAGTGGTTATTCACAGATGTGATTATCACACACTGCAGCCTTGAACTGCTGGGCTCAAGCAGTTCTCCTGCCTCCTTCTGCAGAGTAGCTGGGATACAAGTGCATGACATTTTTATAGTGTCTTTAAAGTGACTTAGAAGGGTTTTTCTTTTTGTTTTAAGGTGAAATTTACCTTGTCATTTCTAAAAGCAACTGTGTTCATCATGAAATTTAGAAGCTAGACGTGGAAAGAGTAACATCATCTGTGGGCTTGTCACTTAGAGAATCGCTAGTAACATTTTTGAAATTGCGATAAAAAATACATTTGTTATATGTATATAATAAAATATACATAATAAGATATACCATTATAACCATTTTTAAGTGTACAGTTCAGTGACATTAAGTACACTCACATTGTTATGCATCCATCATCACTGTGCATAGCTACAAGTTTTTAATCTTCCCAAACTTAAAACTCTATACCTAATAAACACTAATGCCCATTTCCTCTCCTCTCAGCCATGACAAGCACTATACTTTCTGTCTTTATGAATTTGACTACTCTTGGTACCTCTTATAAATGGAATCATTCAATATTTGTTCTTTTGTGACTGGCTTATTTCATGTAGCATAATGTCTGTAAGGTTCCTGCCTTTTTAGGGATGAGCAATGCTCTACCATATGTAGGTAATATTTTGGTATGTAGTATATACTTGATGTGTTTTTTCTTAAGTTTTTGCCATTATTTTCCACTGTTGGGATTATACTGGCATTTTGTTGTTGTTGTGCAAGTGAACATTTCTTGAGCACCTCACATCCTGCTTGCCCTGGGCTCTATCACAGCAGAGGTCAGTAGGTCCCAGCCTCTATCTTCCGAGAGTGTAATCAAGTAGGGGGAGACGTGGGTACAGATACGATTTGAAAAGAGTCCCACGTCATTAGTTCTGTGGTGGAGGTGTGAGCAGTGGGCGGAGGCCGGAGCCAGAGAAAAGAGAGGCCAGAGTGTACTGGAGGGGCAGCGTCAGCTGTTGGGGAGAGGAACCTGCTGCCTCATCTCACGGGCCAGTGGGGTGTATAGACAGGTCACAAATTCAGAAGCACAGCAGCACAGTGAGGGGCGAGTGGTGCATGCGCTTCTGTGTCCTCATCTTCATGTCTAGTGTTGTAACAGAAGTAGCTTGATGTGGACACTTAATTTTTTATAAATACTTTTTAATGACCATAGAATGTTCTGTTGATAGACCTCTATGTTATCTAACCATTCCCCATTGCTGAACATCTATATTGTTTCTGGTTTTTAACTTTTCATGTAACATTGATGAATATCGTTATGCTCATTCACTTTTTCTGAATTTTGATTCTGTGTTTCCTTGAGATTGAGTCTCGGAAATGGAATCATTGGGTTAAGGACCTGCATGAGCCTTCGGGAGCCAGGCAGATTTCAGGGCTTCATTTGTTGATGTGAATAATTTGGTTATCCATGTGAGTGGCTAGGATTTGGATTTCTGCATCCTTCACACTCAGTGTGTTATACATGTATACTTCTCAGGGACTTTCTTTATTAATTCAGTGATTTCTGCAACCAGACCCCAAGTGCTATTGCTGACCATTGATTTATAAAGGTAGGGAGAGGTGGAGGAGGGGTGTGGTCTGCACAGTCCCGGGTACTGTTAAATCTCTGGGACTCTTTTCTCTAGCATTTAATCATGAGCCAAGGCAGAGGAGACCGTTGGCCTTCCCACCTTTCATACTTACTCTTTCAGTCTGTGCCCTTCCAGGAGGGCAGGGGTCAGGGAAGATTACTGGACACAATAATCTTTTCTTGAAACCCTTTTAGTTCAGGTTCTTTAAATACATATTTTTCTTTTTTTCAAACTCATTTTACTGCCAGAAGTTCTTTAAATATTTAAATGCTGCGGGCAGCAACTGTATTGTGAGAGGAACGATCCCAACTTTGAGTGCATCTCGTAATGGAATGGCTTGGATTGCCTCTGCCTGCTCTAGGAAGCACTTTCAAGGAGAGAAAGAAGCTAAAGAAGTTTAAAAGATGCTCTCACTTCATAGAAGACAAAAGTTAACATGAATTAAGTGTTTAGATATTGTTTTGCCTTATACTTTGGTTTAAACCATATTTCAGTGATGATAATAGTATTATTTGGTATCTTACATATTTTAGATACCTGTTTTATGGGGGGCATGTGTACAGATATTGTGTCTAGTTGGGTTTTTGCTTATGTGGCATTACCAGTCATGTCTGTGTTCTTTGTTACTGAGTGATGGAATTCTATACTTGTGGACTCTTAGAATGGAAAGGGATGTGGAGGTCATTTGACTTCAGAACTCATCCAGTGTGGTAACACCTTTGCCAGCATCCTTGATTGACATTCACCCAGCTCAGCTTTGGTAAATAATGCATTTTCCATTTATAACACTGTTTTTCAAGAAAATATGGACTGGCTTATTACGTAGTTTCTAAGAAGAAATTGATGGAAAGAATAGGACAGGGCTAGATGTTAGCATCATGTTGGTCTTTATATATAGAAGAGACCTTGAAAAATGCCTGGAAACCCCCAGCTACCTTAGAAGCAGTACAGTTTGGTGGAAGGAGCTTGGGTTAGAAGCCAGACACATCTTTCTAGCTCTGTGTCCTGAGCCACTGTCCCCTAACTTGGCTACCATGTCAGTGAGCCAGAAAGTGGTCATGCTGACCTCAAGGGACCTGTTACCCAGGATGTACTCAGATGTTTTCTGTATTATTTCCCCTTTCTCATGCCGAGGCCATCCATAACACCACTTTTTTAGTATATGAGATGTTTAGAGTCTTAGTTTAGAGAACATTTTAAATATTCTTAGTATTGTTGAATTAAAGATACTCTGTTTTTAAGTTTTTTCTTATTCCTTTATTTAAACTTTTTCCCCCATCAACTTTTATTTTAAGTTCAGGGGTATGTGTGCAGAATGTGCAGGTTTGTTACTTAGGTAAACGTGTGCCATGGTGGTTTGCTGCACAGATCATCCCATTACCTAGGTATTAAGCCCAGCATCCATTAGCTATTCTTTCTGATGCTCTCCTACCCCCCAACCCCTATTTTTAAGTGTTCATTTGGAATGCTTATTTTATTTTTTGAGATAGGGTCTCACTTTGTCACCCAGGCTGGAGTGCAGTGGTATGATTGTGGCTCACTGCATCCCCAACCTCCCAGGCTCAAGAGATCCTCCCACCTCAGCTACCCAAGTAGCTGAGACTACAGGTGTGTGCCACCACACCTGCCTAATTTTTAAATTTTTTTTGTAGAGTCAGGGCCTACTGTGTTACCGAGGCTGGTATTGATCTCTTGATCTCAAGCAGTCCTCCTGCTTCAGTCTCCCAAAGTTTTGGGATTATAGGCACGCCTGGCCAGGAATGTTTATGTTGATGCACTCTTTATTTTGCACTGGTTCTAGCTATAATCGATGGTATCTGAATGGCTAACTTGTGTAAGGATTCTAGAGCAGTGCTTCTCACACCATCTGTGATGAAGAACTTGGTTTTTTCTACTTTAAAACTTGCAATCCTTTATGAACTAGTGCTTTTGTAAAAGTACAATAAAAACAGCATGGCAGTATCAGATTGCTATAAAAGTTTTTTAAGTGCTTTTCTCCTTTTTGGTGCTTCTCTCATATGGGCTGGTGTCAGTCCATGAGCCATAATTTGAGTAGCACTGGCCTAGAAAATACTTCAGAAAGTAGTGCTAGGAAGAAAAGTAAGTAGAATTATTTTGTAATTAATGAGTACACTGTGCTGCCTCAGTTTCCACACTGTGACTGAGAAGAGACCATCCTGAAGAGGAGCAGGCTGAAAGGAGTGAAGGCAATTCTGTCTCCTCCTCCTGGCACGTCCCTCACAGCTCTGCTCCCACTCACCACTCAAGAATAGCAGCCACTCTCCAGTTAGGTCATGGGTACATCAAGCCTGACTTGAAGCCATTGGCCAAACAATTGCTGTGTTCCTACAGCTCCATTTGCTGCTTGCATTTTAATTTCTCTCCCTTCTGGTTCTGGCAAGTCCTCAGCTGCAAATAACTTCCCTCCCACCATTCATAGATTCATATTCCACCCTCCTTTTGGGAGACTTGTCTGTTGTAGTCCTTTCTCACCTGAATCCCTTTTATCCTTTAAGACTCCATACTTGCAAAAGTGGTTATGACCCATTGAGGGAGTCACTCCGAGTGCCTCTCAGGACCTTATGTGCCCCATCCCGGGGACCATCCTGAGTCTCTTCCAGCATTCAGCTAAATATTTTAGCATTTGTTTATTCTCACCCCAAATAAATGCATATTTTTAGAAAATGTGATCATAATGTACTTTTCTGCATCAAACTTATAACACTCTTTGATATATATCCTCACAGGATGACTGGCTTCATGAACTCTTTTAAGTGTTTGTCTTCTTGCTGCTACTTGAATGTTCTTTATTTCTAGCTCAGACTTAGAATTTGGACTGGAAAGAAGTCCTCCTGCATTCATGAGCTCATGTGTTCTCAATCTGCCAGGGAACTTCCGTGGAGCATGGTTTGTGCTCCTTCCTGAGCACAGGGACTCAGGATAGGGCTTCAAGTGCAAGCTAAGGACTTGATAAACCTGAAGTGAGCTGGGCTCCTGCCTTACACCAGCTTCACGACCTTGGGCAAGCAGGTTAACCTTTTTCAACCTCTGGAAATTGCGAGTAATAAAAGAACAAATCTTAGAATTAAACAAGTTGCTTGGTACATAATAAGTATTAAATATTATCTGCTATCATATAATTACATTGTTATTTCTATTCATATTATTTTCTATTTCTAATAGACACTGAAATGTTGCAACACGCTGAACTCAGGGTTTCTTGACTCTGGCACTGTTAACATTTTGGCCAGACAATTTTGTGTCACGCAGGGCTGACCTGTGCATTATAGAAGTTTAGCAGCATCCGTGGCCTCTACCCACTAGATGCCAGTAGCACCTCTCCCCTGAGTTGTGACAATCAAAAATGTCTCCACTGGTTGCCAAATTCCACCCTGCCACACACAGGTCCCTGGTTGAGACCCACTGGTTTAAATAAATACGTGTATTTTCTAAGATGAAACAGAACTGCATCTACTTGGAATAGTTTGGAATTTCTGAAGACATTTTGCTCGAGCGTGATATAGAATTTAGAATGGTTTTTTGTTTTGTTTTTACCTCTTCTGTGTTGCTACACGCAGCCTTAAAATGTTGAGTTAATTAGATGAGCCAGAGAGATGGTATCTGTGGGTTGCATGAAGTGGCTGGTGCAGCCTCCCCCGGTGCTGATGGCGCGCTCTTTTTGGCAGCGTACTGTAAGAACTCTGTGGATGGCCTCTGGTACTGCTTTGATGACAGCGACGTGCAGCAGCTGTCGGAAGATGAGGTCTGCACGCAGATGGCATACATCCTCTTCTACCAGAGGCGGACAGCCATCCCGTCGTGGTCAGCCAACAGCTCGGTGGCAGGTGAGGTCCACTCTTGTTCTTGGGCTGTTTTTTCCAGAGCAAAAGATTGTAATGAATGGTCTAGAGGACCTCTTTGGAGGGTCTCTTGACTCTGTCAGTTTGATCAGATGAGTCCTCACATTTCCATTTAACCTGGAAACTAAAGTGATTGTAGTTAAGGAAGTGGGGGAGGAATGTGAGAGCAGCTGTGGCCCAGCAGAGTTCCACCCGAGGCCTGATGCAAAGAAAGCTCTCGATGTGTGCTTGAGGATAAATGCACAGATGAGCTGAAAAGCAGCGTGGCATACTACCCCCTGTTCTGGGGTTTCCTGGAGGCTGTCCTATCTGGGACACACAGCGATCATCTATAATACGGATATGATAATAATGCCTACCTCATGGGGTCGTTGTAAGCATCCAATTGAGTAAATGTATGTTAAAGCATTTTGTAAAGGGTAAAGGACCATTAGAAGTAGTCTGCTTTTCCAGTGAGAAGATTGGCCTATTCTGTTAGGAGAAGGATTGATGGCTGTGATAATATTAGATGGCTTGGGTTTAGCCAGATGACATCCAGCCTGTTGTGTTTAATAAACACAGGGGCCAGTACCCACACACAATATGAATGAATGCAGCCACACATAATCCAAACAAGTAGACACACGTTTCTGAATGCAGAGTTGGACTTCAAGAGAGCGTGACAGAGGACTGGAATGTGGTAATGTGCGATCAGATCAGGTTAGGGGCTGTGAACCTTTGCTCCTCTTGAAGCTTGCAGGGGGGTGAGGTCAGAGCAGCGAAAACAAGGCATCTCTCAAGCAGAGTGATGCCCTGCTGGGGGCTAAGCCCACCCAGTGTACAACCACTCACTCGCTTAAGAGAACGGGAACTCCAGTGCTCTTTTGCCAGTCTCAGATGTGCTCAGAAATGATACCTTCTTTAGGTCTACTTGAGACAGTCATGCTGCTTCATGTACTCCATTTCGAGAGCAATTTCTCTTGCTTTAATAAATACTTAAGGGTATTCCTGGAACAGACAGGGCAGATTGACATATAGCTCTGTGTGTGTGTGTGTATTACCAGTATTACGAAAATGGTTTAAAATTTCCATAAAACAGTGAGGCTGAGAGAAAAACAGTACACTGCCACTTCCTCTCTTCTCTTTATGTAAGAAATATTACTGCAATTACTTAGAACAGTGCCTGGCATGTAGGTGCTTAATATTTGTGGAGCGAATGTGTGAATGCTTGTCTATTCCATTCTCTTGCCAATTCTTAAGATTCAGACTTCAGACTTGCATTATAAAGTATCCCTATCCTTGCCATTTATTACTACAAATAGCATATGTCCAGAATCTGCCTTCCATCTTTTCATCCTAACTGGGGATATTCGAGCAGGCACGATATAACGCAGGGTGTGGGAATTGGTGCTGACCTTGGGGTGAGGACATCAGTACCCCCAGCTCAGCTCATAGCACTTTCATGAGGGTGTGTGTGGCTCAGGCTGGCCAAGGGACCCCGACCTGACCTACATGCCTGTTTTCCTCTTTGCAGGCTCCACGAGTTCTTCCTTGTGCGAACACTGGGTGAGCCGGCTCCCGGGCAGCAAGCCAGCCAGTGTGACCTCTGCAGCTTCCTCCAGACGCACCTCCCTGGCCTCGCTCTCTGAGTCCGTGGAGATGACTGGAGAAAGGAGTGAAGATGATGGTGGGTGTGGGTTTTGGTGACAGATTTCCAGAATGGTAACTCAAAGGCACAGCAGAGTCCCTTGTGTTTTTCCCAGGACCTAAGTCTCATGGAGATGGTAGGAAGATTCAAAGGGAGCTGTAGGGAGTGGAGCTGCGTAGCTGTCGGTTACGATCCTAAGAAGCATTTTGTATTAACTGAGTCATTTGCTTCTCTGTGTCCCAGTATTTTCTCCTTCCACTTCATTATTTTCCACTTTTCAGGTCTCTTGTGGAGGCTGGAGCTTTATATACCAGTGTATACTTCCCCATCTCCCACCCTCCAAAGTGTTAGAATAGCTGGAAGAGGCCCAGGCCACCTGGTGGGGAGTCAGCTCCAGGCTTGGCATGGAGGCTCCTGGCTCTCTTGGCCCCAGGAGCACCTCACCTTTCCACCGTGATGCTCTCCAGGGAGGAAGCTGTGGGATGTTCTTTTTAGCATGGAAGCATCTAGAACAAAAACTGTTGTTGCCTTTGCATAGAGGTAGTAAAAATTCTGATAAAAAATTGAACTCTTTTTTTTTTTTTTTACTTTCACTTGCTGCTTTAGTAATAGCAGGATAGGCCTTAGTTCCAACAGGGACCCAGGCGGTGTGGGAAGGACCGGGCAGCCACAGTACTGGGAGCTGGAAGGAGGAGTGAGTGCAGCTTCTATAATGAGCACAGTGACTCATCTGCCAACAAGTCTCAGTCTGCAGCTAGCATTTCGATCGCTGTAATCTGCTTCTAGTGGTGATGGATAATTCTGAAAAACTGAAATTGAGTTAAAATTGCAAGAGCCTGGAAGAAGAATGCCAGGCGAAGAGAGCTGCACCATAGGTCTAGCTCTGCCACCTCTTCTGGCTTCTTGCCTCCTTATTTGTAAGATAAAAACAGTGGTCTGCAGTTCCTAAGCTCCTTCTGGCTCCTCACATTTCATGGAAAACTGACTAGTGAACCTTTGCTTGTTTAGGCAGAGATTATTTTCAATACTGCCTTTAAACTTAGAACTCACTGTCATTTTAACAATAAGCCTCAATAAGGTTTGCCTCCATCTATTTTTAAGCAGTGCAGTTGCTGAAATCAATATCCTTTTAAGCATCATCATTGTATAATGGTGCTGGGTGGTGCCCACAGAACAGAGCCTATTTCTTAGGCTCTCTAAAGACAGAATTTTGTAAATATCACAACTATAGTATCATTGTGTACAAAATTTAATTTAGAATATTTTCTTAGGAAGTTTTGAGCCACACCAAATAGGAGTGTGTGGTTCTAATTATGAAATTTTTTTGGAAGTTTTAAGTCACTGGAAGTAGGAGTGTATGATATCCAAGTCTTTTTAGTTCTTTGCGTTGATCCATTTTTGTAGTCAACAGTTACAGGCCAGCTAACATGTGGAACTGAGTGGTGTTGGGGGTTAAGGGGTTCTAAGTCCGAGTATTAGCTCTTCCTTTAATAAGTTGTGTAATCTTGGTCAAGGACTTCATTTCTGTGAGCTCCAGATCACCTTCAGGAAGGTGTAATGAAGCTGGGTCAATAACTCACAGCATCTGTGGAGTGCCTGGTGCTCTGTTAGGCACAGGACTTCTAAGATTGTATTTAATTCTTACAGTTGCCCTGTGAGTTAGACCAGAGGTCAGCAAACTATAGCCCCATAGATCAGATACAGCCCACTGCCTTTCTTTGTAAAGATTTTTGGAACACAGTCAGAGATGTTTGCTTATGTGTCACCTGTGGCTGCTTTCATGCAGCAGTGGTGGAGTTGAATGTTTGGCCTGCAGAGCCTAACATCTGCTATCTAGGCCTTCACGGGAAAAGTTATACCAAGCCCTGATGTAGAGCAAGGAGATAAATAGAAGTTTGCTGTGTTAGAATGATCCTGAGTTAGAATGTCCCTATTTTATACATAAGGAAAATGGGCTCAGAGAAGTCAAAGCCACACAGCTATTCCCTGATCCCAGATGGGCTGGCTCTGAAAGTCATGCTTCTTTTATCCCATAAGGCTTACCTTTATTTCACCTTCAGTGACTTACAGTGTTGCTAGAACATCTTCACTGGCTTAGCTTACAGCATTCTCTTTGCTGTGTTTAGGAGGCTTTTCAACTCGACCTTTTGTGAGAAGTGTCCAGCGTCAGAGTTTGTCATCTAGATCTTCTGTCACCAGCCCCTTGGCCGTCAATGAAAATTGCATGAGACCTTCGTGGTCCCTGTCTGCTAAGCTGCAGATGCGCTCCAATTCTCCATCCCGATTTTCAGGGGACTCGCCGATTCACAGCTCTGCCTCCACCTTGGAGAAGATTGGGGAGGCAGCGGATGACAAAGTCTCCATCTCTTGCTTTGGCAGCTTGCGGAACCTTTCTAGCAGTTACCAGGAACCAAGCAATAGTCACAGTCGCCGTGAGCACAAGGCTGTGGGCCGGGCTCCTCTGGCTGTCATGGAAGGTGTGTTCAAAGACGAATCTGACACCCACAGATTGAACTCCAGTGTTGTAGATACACAGAGCAAACGTTCAGCACAAGAGGACCACCTGCCCCCAGTCTCTGATCCATTCGATAACAATAATCAGATCGCTTATGTGGATCAGAGCGACTCTGTAGACAGCTCTCCAGTCAAAGAGGTGAAACCTCCCAGCCACCCAGGCTCACTCGCCAAGAAACCAGAGAGCACAACCAAGAGGTCCCCCAGTTCCAAAGGCGCTTCCGAGCCAGAGAAAAGCTTGCGGAAGGGGAGACCAGCTTTGGCAAGCCAGGAGTCATCCCTTTCAAGTACATCCCCTTCTTCTCCTCTTCCTGTAAAAGTCTCCCTAAAGCCGTCCCGCTCCCGCAGCAAAGCAGAGTCTTCTTCCAGGGGCAGTGGACGGCATTCATCCCCTGCCCCTGCCCAACCCAAAAAGGAGTCATCCCCGAAATCTCAGGACTCCATGTCATCTCCTTCGCCACAGAAACAGAAGTCAGCCTCAGCCCTTGCCTACACTGCTTCCTCCACATCTGCCAAAAAGGCCTCAGGCCCTGCCACAAGGAGCCCCTTCTCGCCTGGGAAGAGCAGGACTTCAGACCGGAGCTTGAGTAGAGAGGGCTCCAGACAAAGCTTGGGTTCTGACAGAGTCAGCGCCACCTCTGCCTCCAAACCCAACTCCCCTCGTGTGAGCCAGGCCCGAGCAGTGGAGGGCAGGGGGGCCGGGAAGCATGTGCGGAGCTCCTCAATGGCCAGCCTGCGCTCCCCCAGCACAAGCATCAAGTCTGGTCTGAAGAGGGACAGCAAGTCTGAGGACAAGGGGCTCTCCTTTTTCAAATCAGCCTTGAGACAGAAGGAAACCCGGCGCTCAACGGATCTTGGCAAGACAGCCTTGCTGTCTAAAAAGGCTGGTGGGAGCTCTTCTAAGTCCGTCTGTAAGAACACCGGGGATGACAAGGCAGAGAAAGGCCACCAGCCTTCAGCTTCCCAGCAGCCAAATGCAAACGCAAAGGGAAAAGAGCAGCTTGTCTCCAAGGACCCTGCTTCTGCCAAACATTCCCTGCTGTCCGCTCGCAAATCCAAGTCTTCCCAGCTAGACTCTGGAGTTCCCTCGTCTCCTGGTAGCAGGCAGTCTGCCGAGAAATCTTCAAAAAAGTTATCTTCTAGCATGCAAACCTCTGCACGGCCTTCTCAAAAACCTCAGTGATATTTCTGCAATCAAAGTGTTTTGTCTGTAAAGATGTTTATTTATTTAGAACCCCTCCCCTCCCACCAGTCCCCTGTGCTTTTGTTTTGTATTTTTTTGAGTCACATGCCTGACTGTGCATGTGTGTGTGTGTGTGTGTGTGTGTGTGTGTGTGTGTGCGCGCGCCTGTGTGTGTCTGTATGTGTGTGTGTAATTCAACTGCAAATTGTTCCAAGCGTCGCCTTATTCTGCCATTGAACCAAATAACAGCCATAGGCAAAACATTGACACCAAGCTAACTGGAATAATCGTAGACAATACCCAGGACAGTCCCTTTAGCAATTGTACATATTTCTTTCTAGAGAACTCTAATGACTTTCTTTGGATATGAGGGTTTTGAAACCTGTGAACCAGTAAAGCCACCATTAGTGCGTAGAAGGAGGAAGGAACTGACTTGTGTTTCTTCTGAGCAGGACTTGTCTTTACTGTGGATTGTCGGGTGGCACCAGGAGCTCTACAAACTGTGACTTTAACAACGAAACAAATTGAGGGAAAAACTGTTGCTTTCTGCACTTTCGCCCCATCTCCCAGTCTTTGTAAAGGGCAATATTTTAACACTAATGTTTCTCAGGTATATACTCAGCTAGTCTAGGGTGGATGCACACCAGTAAATGGATTAAAGACGAAGGTGCCATGTGGGTGACTGTGTCATTTCTCCTACTGCCACAGACAGATGTTTTTGAGGTAGAAATGAAGCCTTTCACCACCTTCATATCTGCAGCGACGTGTGCACCAAAACCTGTGTTGACCCTTGGGATAGGTCCTGAGAGGTGGCAGATCGGATAGCCAGAAAGCCAGTCAGTCACTCGTTTAATTCTTTTTTTCCTTCTAAAATTACTAGCTAAGGCCGTTGGAATTTTGCACAGTAGTAGAGCAGTTAACACCTTTGACAGATTCCTGGAAAAAAACTTCTGGATTCTAAACTGGGTGAAAGACTGGACATCATTTTCCTTGTCAGGTGTTGCTTGTTTCCATTAGAGGTGGGAAGCTCCACGATGCCCTGTGTCTGCGGGCTCACGTTCCCTCATCTTGTAACTTGGAGAGGAAGGACGTTGCCTACTGCCAAAAGCCAATGGTGGTATGTTGAAGCGATGTGTGATCACGTATTACATACACACTTCAGATCCTGTCTGTCAGTCTCAGTTAGGGCTGCTTTTAACTCATTTATTATTTCTTCTTTGTTCTCAAGATTTCGTCTCATGCCCAGAACTCACAAGCAGGCTTTGGAGTGTGTTCCATCTGGCCGTGTCGTGCAAATTGCATTTCTTACTAGGAAAAAGGAGAACCTCCCCAAAAAACTCACAGATAAGCAAAATATATAGGTTTGCAAGTTTTTGAGAGGTCTCCTGGCAATACTTTCCTGCTCAATTTTTAGCTTTTTTTTTCTCTTTTTTAAAAAAAGGTCAAGAGAATGAGGGTCCCAATTCTCTCTAAATAGTATTTGTCACTTTGCCACTAAATACAGCATGCTAAGTTTATGTGCTTTTAAATATTAGCGTTTTTCGTCAGACTCTTGAAGTTCTTCTTGAACCCTTGGTTTCCAGATCCATATATAACCTCCCTTTTCAGTATTGCTGTGTGAAGTAACTATAACACATATGCATGCATAGCTATGAATTCTACATTGCCTTTTTTTCCCTCCCCCTCCCCCCCAGAGAATATCTCTTGGGAAATGTTTTTGGTAGGTTACTTAACTTTATTTTGCTGCTAATTTGAGCATGAGCTGGTAACTTGGAAGTCTGGAGGCCACTTATGTTGAGGGTAGCTGGAATTGTAGACCCCTGGCAGTATTTAAGATTTAGATACTCAACCTTGTGAAAGTTACCACAGTGCTTCCCGTGATTCATTGACTATGAGCCCATTGTCCATTGCACTCAGCCCTGTACTCGCCTCTTAACTCGCTCTCCTCATTTTATTGTTCAGATTCTGGTGGGTTCTCAAAGCAGCACTACTCTCCTGTGCTCAGTACAGCTGCGGCAACTGGCTGCCTTCGATGTTATCATTGCTTGCAGCCCAGCACGTCACAGCCCCATCGGTGTTTAGCCACCACTCTCATTTTCTGTATCGCTTTTATCTCCTGAAAAAGACGCAGCAAACATCAGATCATATCAGAAATTGAATGTCTGTCTTGTATTTGTTTAATAGGTAGATCTCATTTGAAGTCTCCTACCTGAAGCTCCGAAACAGTTTGATTAGGCAAAGGATTTTAATAACAATTCTTTTTTGCTGTAGTCAGTTAAGCATTAATAGAAACTAGTTTAATTTTCACAGTGGCAAATATTTTTATTCTTGAGTCATGTAGGAATGGATTTTCCATGCTGTCTAGTGACTTTAAAAAAAAGGAAAAAAGTTTCTACAAATCCCTTTGGTTTTCCATGGGATCTAGAAATAAAATTTCGGTGTCTATAAACTGTATGTCTGTGGAGTTTAGTCCTTGTTTCAGGTTTAATAGGAAAAAATCAGGAAGTATGGCACTGTCTAGACATCTTGAAGCTATTATATTTCCATGGTTGGTAAACAGTGAAAATTTTATTATCTGTAACTACTGGGTACAACTTTAGGCCACAGGAAAGGTTATTTGGCCCAGAAGATGGGAGGTGCTCCAGAGGTGTGAAATATAGGAAAATTGTTACTTGATTCAACATAGTTCATTGGTAGGATTAGGGACTCATTTTTTTTATTTTTTAAATTTTCCCAATGATATTTAGCAAATAAACATGTATGTGCTTTGGGGTTAAAAATTATCTGCTAAGGATGATAGTCCTGGGTTTCTGGTTGACAACTAGATGGGCCTGATTAGAGCAGTCATTTCCTGGTAGGCACAAAATAATCACCAACAGTAAGGTTGTATCTGTAATATTTGTTTGCTTTTTTAAAAAAGTTTAATTCTTGATTTCCTGTAAACATCCATCGTGCTGAGGCCATATCATTCCTTAAAATAGCCCTATACCTTGCCTTGGTAATCCCTTAGACAATGTGGAAACTCAAACCAGTAGGTTCCAATCATCTTATACTGTTTCCCATCCATTTTATATTTTCTCATCCTAAAAGCAGCCAAACTGAAAGTAAGTAATAATATGCTGGATCAGTGGAAACGGATGTGGGAGTATTTGTGGTGTGCTAAAATATTGTAATTATCTGTGAGGCTGCCTGGCATGCTTTTCAATGTTGCTTTCATCATTCATTCTGCAAACATTCGCAGAGGGCCTGCTTTGTGCACAAAGGCAAAACTGAAAGCTTCAGGGATTTGCTGTAGCTGAGGAGCCCTGGGAGCACAGCCCATCAAGCAGGGGATGTGATGGTGTCCTAAATGGAGTGACAGTTCTCCTGGACAAAGAGATCACGTGGATTCCGGTCAAATCGGCTAAGGCTTGTGGTTTTCTTGAACAAGTCTGTTCCCTCTGGAAACCAAAAGTGCCCTTCATCTTTGGAGACGTTTTACTCTTACATCCACCTTTTCAGACTGAGCTGTCTCTACTATTTAGGGATTGAAAATCCATTACACAGTCACTTTACGTTAACATTGGGTCATCTGTGTTTCTGTGAGACAGAAGTGGGATTTGAGGGGAGCATTGTCATTCCTCTAAAGTAACTATCATGAAAAAAATAGAAGCAGTATGTAAAGGGACCAAGAGTGTTAGCCTTTAGGGAAAATGGGACAGAGAAGAGCTGTGAACAAAGCTCATTCATTTGAAATAAATGTGCTTTATTTCATATGGAGGAGCATCAAACGTTACATTTCATTCGGACAAATTACTGAACAGCCGAAGTGATTGTTTCCTATGTAGGTTACTATATTACTGGATACAAAGATAACTAGTGTTTTTCTGGGTTGGATTTTTAAAATAGTATGCAAATCATAAGCACAGTTTCCATAAAACACGTATTCTGGAGGTGCGTGGAACTTTATATTATTTGTAGTTGAGAAAGGTAACATTTCCTGACAAATCAGTGCCTATCATAAACACAAAAAGTAGCTGTTAATGTGCAGGCTGTCTTTAACTTTTCATTTCATAAAGGGTACGTTAATGTTAAACCCTACTACGTTTTGGGGAGAAATCCAGTGCTTTTATTTAAACGAACACTGTCTCACACTGCCTTTTGATCAACTTTCAGAGTGTTTTGCAGGCGCATTTTGAGCGTGACCAATCATTTTTCCCCCCAAGTAATGGAAACAATTGTGCATGGCCTCCGTATAACGCAGAAAGCATGCTCTTACTACCTATGCAAGCGACCAATAAAAGAGACACGAAACGTTAAGTCTTAAAAAAAGAAAAAGGCAACATTTAGAGTATGGAGCTCTACTTTTAAATTTGTGATTTTCAGAATACGGCTTACTCATTGTGTAGAAGAGCATGAATGTGATTTCTTGTTTTGCTTTTCATGTATTTCTCTGCTGATTTTTGATCATTGGCAAGATTCTTAAGTATTTTGCAAGCAGAAGTGGAATTGGATACATTGAACATACATTGTTGATGTATATACTGTATTTACCCTGAAGACTTTACCTAAAGTATTTTGTTCTAAAAAAAAAAAACCTGCCATTTTCTATAGATTTTAATTTTTTATATCTTCAAGGGTTCTATTGTGGTCACAAGGAAAGAATGTGGCTTCAAATAGTGCTAAGAATTTAAAGATGCTTTTGTAGAGACTTAGAGCTGTTTTGGAAAGCTTTGGGGCTTCCCAGCCACTGGTCACAATTAGACTAAGCCCCTGGAATTTATGGTAGTGTTGTGCAGTGGATGGGGTTCTAGATCCGTCTTACATTTGTTTAAATCTAGTGTTTCCCAATTTTGGGGAGAAGGGGTGCACAGCAGACTTGAGAGGCTTTTTTGAATCTCACACATGTATTCTCAAGATTTTCTTAAGCCTCTTCTGAATGACTTGGCTGAGATGGTGAAGACCCACATTGGCTAGGATCAGCTGGGGAACTTTTAAAAATACAGTGCCTGGGTCCCAGCCCCTAGCTTTTGATCTAATTCATGTAGGGGTGGGCTCCAGGAATTAGCATGCATTTTAAAGCTTCTGGGTGTTTGTAATTTGCAGTCAGATTGAGAATCACTATGATATGACATCCCTTTACCGAGAATTATGGTGAGAATCACTGCCATGTGAAGTACTCAGGAGTGACTCCAGATTCCTC